GTCAACTTTGTTTTTTTAAATGGTAACACATATTTTTAATTTAATAAAATGTTTGAGTTTTTAATTCAATAATAAATGGCATTTGAATTTTTAATAAAACTTAATTTGTTTATTAGATATAAACATTTAAAGTTTCAAATTTTTGAGTTAATATATAGGTATAATACACTAGGGATTACAAATACAGGTTGCTAATTGATTTTTTATGACATCGATATTAGCAGGTACACAGCATTGTTATTATCAATGATAGTAAGGTACATTGTTGTGAGTTTATAAATACACTAACTGATAATACAAAAAGTATATCTATTGATAGTCATAATTGATAATAAACAATCCGTGACTGTGATAGCAATATCATAAAAATCCAATTAGCTATCTGTATTTGTAATTCCTTGTGTATTATACCTATATATTAACTCAAAAATTTTAAACTTTAAATGTTTATATCTAATAAGCTAATAAAATTATATTAAAAATTCAAATGCTATTTACTATAAAATTAAAAACTCGAACATTTTATTAAATTAAAAATATGTGTTACCATTTAAAAAAACAAAGTTGACCCCCTTCCAAGGCATAAAGGATGAACTTAAAAAGTATTACATAGTTAATAATTCAAGAATAATGTGTAACTAAAGATAATAATAAAAAAAAAATTTTAATTATTATTATTGTGTAAGTAATTGAGTGGGTTATGATAAAAAAATCATTCTGTAGATGATAAATAAAATTAACGCCGTCGGCACATTTAATATAGAATTGTAATGAAATATTTACAAAATGTAATTATATTTGATACATATAATTTTTTTTTTATCAAGCATATTCATATTTAAATATTGTATATCTATGTAAATGTTTATGAGACACATAATATTAATTAGAATTATTTTAATATAATAATGGTTAGAATTAAAATTTGCCAATGTTTTCAGCTCCCTTATTCAATAATATGATATATTTATATATATATATCAATGTATACTTACCATATAAATCACATTTAAAACGAAAATTCCACTTTTCATAAAAAATTTCTAAAAAAAATAATATTAATAGATTTAAACATTTGTAACTTTTCATTAAATATTATTTAAATTTTATTGTGTAGTTAATTTCATAATCTTTTCTATTGCATAGGATGCTACACGTTATTCTTCATGTAAAGTTTTTTATCTTATCATGAGTACATAAAAAATATTAAATTTTAAATTATTATTTTGAAAATATAGTAAAATTTAAATTATTAAAATTATGAAAAATAAAATGAAAGTTTGACGGTTGTTTACTGAGGTATTTACAAGGGATGTATTCAAAATTAATTTTTTTAAGTATGCTAGAAAAAATTGTTTGCAAAAAGTAAATTTAAAAAATAGGCTATAAAAAAAATATTAATATTATATACCTAAATTAATTAGCAAAAATAATAAATAAAGAACGAAAAAAAGAATAGCTAAAAAAAATAACTAATTTTATAATTAATATAATTTCAGTAAAATATTCATTGAATATTCTCATATATTTAAATTATTTAATTATATAAAAGAATAAATAATTGATAAATAACTAACCATAAATATAACTAACATAATAGTTTGTTATACTGTTAAATATAAAATTAAATTTAAAAAATTGGATAAATTGTGATCAAAAAATGGATTCAATTAAGTTCCTTATCATTTAACTAGAGTTAAACTATACAACGTCAAAACACAGTATCTGATATTAGCTCGATGCGAAGCTGAGAAGGTATTGGTTTTACTATGATGTGTTTTTTTTTTTTGTGTCTGTTACCACTTTTTCTTAGCTATACGTCAAAAGATCACAAACCGTATCTAGTCGAAGACATTACCCTTAAAAATTGAAAAAGTATCCCTCTTTCCCCGTAAATGGGGGAAATCACCAAAAAAATTACAAATTTAAAAATCGCTCATTTTCGAAAATTTTTAATTTTTTTTTAATAAAAACTGCCGTAACTTTTTCAAAAATGAACATATCAATATAATTTTTTTTTTTATAGATGCTTGATGACTTTACCTATCATTTGATATATTTTTTTTGTAAATTTGACACTTTATCTGCCCACAGGGGGGATTTAAAATGACAACTTTTTCACAAAAAATTAACTTTTGAAAATGTTCTGGAAGGTCTGACACTTTTATATATATCTTAGATTAAAGCTAATGTAATTTACTTTAGTATTAAAAAAAAAATTTGACCTCTGGACTTGTCTTCATGGTGAAAATGCCTACTATATGCTATTTTTGTGTTAAAATTCTCGATTTTATATTTAAAATTTTTAACTTTATAATGATATAATTTATTAAAAAATGTATGGATCAATACAATTTTTTTATGAGAAGTAGTATTTATATACATCTTTCATCGATATACTGTTTTTTTAAATCGGACTATTTCCCTTAATACAGGGGGGGGGTTCAAAACATAAAAATGCATATAGAAAGGAGAACTTATTCAACTTAACTTTTGAAAGCGTTCCGGAAAGTTTGACACTTTTATATATATCTTAAATTAAAGTTAATGTAATATACTTTATCATGGAAAAATAAAATTTCGGACTTTATTTTATCTTCATGGTGAAAATGCCTACTGTATGCTATTTTCGTGTGAAAATTCTCGATTTTATATTTTACATTTTTTACTTTAAAATGCTATAACTTTTTAAAAAATGTATGGATCAATACAATTTTTTTATGAGAAGTAGTTTTTATATACATCATCCATTCGATATACTTTATCTTAAATAGGATATTAATAAGGAAATAGCAGATCCTGTAGCTTTTGGAATAATCCACCAATTTTTTTAAATTAAACACTATCTAAAAATTTGCATCGAAGCGTTTTTTTTCTTTTAGTAATTTTAATCACTGTCAGATATCATTATACTTGATCCAACTATGCCACGTCAACACTGTGCTGGGTTTTTTTTTTTAAATTATACTGGACAGTAAATTTTGTCAGGTATATGACCATTCAGTTCTGTTTTTTATTGTGTTGTAACTTCTAAAATAATTATGCTATTATTACAGAATAATTATGAAAATTCAGCAAGTTTTACTTCAATAACTATAATATAGTCTTTTTATGTATACAAAAGTCAATTTTTATAAGAATGTTGGTTATTGTGGTATAACGTTGTATAGAATAGTTGTCATAGATAAGTCTTGATTTTTATGATAAATTAATAGACTTATATATCATTACATAGATAAATGAGTCTATAAACAGTACTGTTATGATAATGTAAATAGAAATTTTTTTCTTTAATTGTACGAATAATTAAATACGTGCAATTTCATTGCCGATATACTAGCACAATTTCAAAAAACATATTATTAATGATCATAATTTAGCATTTTTATCACACATTTATGCGCAGAAAACATATCTTAATGATATATCTGTGCATGTGTATAAAAAAAAATTGCTGACAGAACGGTTGAAATTTTAAAACAGTAACGGGCAAGTTAGTAAACACGACCCAACAAATAATACCCACTCAAATTAACTTATTAATTATTCATGATACAAAATAATACAATTAATAGTGATGTAAAATTATCGTAAAATACTTTTTCTAGAATATTATTGGGAATGTTCTTGAGAAAATTCTCTAAAGACAGATATTGTTTTATCATATTTTATATTATTATAAAATAATCTTGAATTTACATACAAATATACAATTTGTCAGTTCCAAAATAACATATTAGCGTCAGATAGTTCGTTCATACGTGTAATAACTCAAAAAGATAGAGTAATGTGAATAAAATGAATGGTTGGGTTACTACTTTTGTTATTATTCAAGGTATGAATACGACGTTCTGTAAGAAAGGTTGTTCTCACCGCGGTTTTGGGTCAAGTTGGGTTTGAGTTGAAGAAATGGGCGACTAATTGTTCAGTTTTAAGTAACCAGATTCCTAAAGAAGATAGAGCTCTCGGAGCCACCGAGTTTGCAGAAGAGGTTCCTGGACTGTTGAAGGTCCTTGGAATGGTATGGAATCCGGTAAAAGATGAATTTTCTTATATTACCAAGCTGTCTGAAAATATCATGACAAAACGTGGAGTTCTTTCGTCAGTCGTTCGACTATTTGACCCGTTGGGTTTTCTCGCCCCCAGTATTTTTTTGGCGAAATCAATTATGCAGCTGTTGTGGAAGGAGAAATGTGGCTGGGACGATGCTCTACCAGCGGAGATTCAACGTCAATGGTTATCCTTTGTCAGTCAATTACCGTCTTTTTCAGATGTCAAAATTCCTCGTTCAATTATTGCACCACCTAATGCCCGTGTCCAACTACTTGGTTTTAGTGATGCGTCATTGAAAGGTTATGCGGCTCTTGCCTACCTACGTGTGGTGGACGATGATAGTATTGTGCATGTATATTTTCTTGGAGGTAAGACGAAATTAGCTCCTATAAAGTCTATGTCAGTCCCACGGCTTGAGTTATGTGCAGCTGCATTATTGGCTCGTTGGCTGGCTAGATGGAAGACAATTTTGAGTGATCGGTTTGTAATCAAGGAAATATTTGCTTGGACTGATTCTACTATAGTTCTCTCTTGGTTAACAACGCCTCAAGTTAAATTTAAAATTTTTGTCACAAACCGAATTGGACAAGTCCGGTCCTTAGTACCTGAATGTATTTGGTTATATGTGCCGACTCAGATGAACCCAGCAGATTGTGCATCCCGTGGAATGTTGCCCTCTGAGTTAGTATTTTGTTCTTTGTATTGGCAGGGTCCCGAGTTTTTAAGATGTCCGTCAGCTCAATGGGAATGTACTTTTCCTTGTATTAATGTTGCAGAATTACCAGAAGTAGTTCAGAGTACCACTGTGGTGTTAGTTGCACAATCAGAAGAGGAGTGGTTAGTTCAGTGGTCATCTTATACTCAATCTATTCGTAGGATGGCTTGGATTTTGCGATTTTACAAACGTTG